GCCATAATGGAGGCAATTATAGCAGGTACATACTCCCTAAAGCGATTTCTTCAAAAAACTCCTGGAACAGAGAAACACAAAGATAAATGAAAAACGTAATTGCGTCATAACGTTGCCATGGCGACTTCGATTGCAATAAAACCCAGATCATAAGAAATTTTCATCTTTATATAATACAGTTGTGGTAACCTTTTTTCCATATCTTTACTCATGCCGAAGTAGTTAATGCTCAAAGTTGGGAGGTATCAACCCCAAAAAATCCAGTCGAGCCACCTTAAACACAGACAAATTAAATGATATATAAGTCGGTTGAGACTGTGTGTGAAACTGCCCACCTACCACTCCCCTAAGGCAACATTTTGCCCTAAGTGAGAAGTAAGTGTAAATGTTGGCTTAGGGGAGGGGTGGATGAGTAGTTTCCCATAATCGTATAATGATCCCCGTGTTTCAGGCTGGGTTGTTCAAAGCATGGTTAAGATAACCCACTCTCCCCAAGGTTAGAGCGAAATTTGAATCCAGATATGCAAGCTTTTGAAAAGTAAATTCAGTTTAATTCTTTTCTTCAACAAGTGGATGTTTGGATGCTCTTAAAAATAACAGAGAAAATTATGCGATAAAATGCTTTTGAACACTAAAGAAAAAGAAACCGGGCTTAAATTTAACCCTGGGTTAAGCGCTAATTGGCCTTCGAACAACCGGACCCCGGAAGGTACAAAAAAGTTTAGCCTGCTGCGAACACAGACATACTCCCGGACGTTTCTTCTTTCCACCCTCGAAGTTACTTTTCCGGTAGAGAGAAGCGATGACAGGATACGTCGGCAGCGTTCACAGGCTGAAATATTGTTATTTCTGATATATCAACGCCTCTTATTCGCCATTTCTCTTTGCTGCAGTTACTTCAGAGGTTTCGCTTAGAGTATCATCACGAGCCACTCGATTTGCGCCAGAAGCTACTTACCGTTCCAGATCAACCGGTTAAGATCAAGTTTGTCGACCGCCGTTGATTGTACCCTGTTTCTTTGTTGTTCGTGTTAGTAGTCAGTGGTGGTAGTTTTTTAACATTTTTTAACTCTCGGACGTACACGCAAAGTCATACCCCCACCGTGGTACAAGGGGAGGGGGTTGATGGAACCCCCTCCCCCCTTGGGTTTTTTTATATGTTGCAGTATTTCGAAACGAGTTTGCCTTCAGTGGAAAGCCTTTCATCTTCTCTACAAGATGAGGTATATTTTGTGGGTGGTGGCGCTGCTGGGGGTCTGTGACGTCACCAAACATGGTCGCCATCTAGGATTTTTCAAGAAGTACAAGTCAGGTAAAAAAAGGGAGAATTAATAATTTTTTGCGCCTAACATGTAACATAACACATAAATAAGTACTTTGCATTATTTTATCCTCAAACTTTACTTTTATTCCCGTAGGAAGTTGAAAACTTGCATGCATTTTCACTCAAAATTGGCTTGACTACCTGCTACTTATGACGTCATATCTCGTACCCATAGTAACTGACTGCCAGTAAACTTGTCTCAGAATGCGCGCGAGGGATAAACAAACAGCTACAGAAANTCTCCCCAAGGTTAGAGCGAAATTTGAATCCAGATATGCAAGCTTTTGAAAAGTAAATTCAGTTTAATTCTTTTCTTCAACAAGTGGATGTTTGGATGCTCTTAAAAATAACAGAGAAAATTATGCGATAAAATGCTTTTGAACACTAAAGAAAAAGAAACCGGGCTTAAATTTAACCCTGGGTTAAGCGCTAATTGGCCTTCGAACAACCGGACCCCGGAAGGTACAAAAAAGTTTAGCCTGCTGCGAACACAGACATACTCCCGGACGTTTCTTCTTTCCACCCTCGAAGTTACTTTTCCGGTAGAGAGAAGCGATGACAGGATACGTCGGCAGCGTTCACAGGCTGAAATATTGTTATTTCTGATATATCAACGCCTCTTATTCGCCATTTCTCTTTGCTGCAGTTACTTCAGAGGTTTCGCTTAGAGTATCATCACGAGCCACTCGATTTGCGCCAGAAGCTACTTACCGTTCCAGATCAACCGGTTAAGATCAAGTTTGTCGACCGCCGTTGATTGTACCCTGTTTCTTTGTTGTTCGTGTTAGTAGTCAGTGGTGGTAGTTTTTTAACATTTTTTAACTCTCGGACGTACACGCAAAGTCATACCCCCACCGTGGTACAAGGGGAGGGGGTTGATGGAACCCCCTCCCCCCTTGGGTTTTTTTATATGTTGCAGTATTTCGAAACGAGTTTGCCTTCAGTGGAAAGCCTTTCATCTTCTCTACAAGATGAGGTATATTTTGTGGGTGGTGGCGCTGCTGGGGGTCTGTGACGTCACCAAACATGGTCGCCATCTAGGATTTTTCAAGAAGTACAAGTCAGGTAAAAAAAGGGAGAATTAATAATTTTTTGCGCCTAACATGTAACATAACACATAAATAAGTACTTTGCATTATTTTATCCTCAAACTTTACTTTTATTCCCGTAGGAAGTTGAAAACTTGCATGCATTTTCACTCAAAATTGGCTTGACTACCTGCTACTTATGACGTCATATCTCGTACCCATAGTAACTGACTGCCAGTAAACTTGTCTCAGAATGCGCGCGAGGGATAAACAAACAGCTACAGAAAACTTCAGGTGCTGATGTTTTATCGCTCAGGAAAAAAAATCAGAAAAACCTTAGGGGCCTCCCTTGTACGTCCGAGGGTTAAAAGGTATCATCCATGTTAAAAATCAATAACTTTTCGAATTTTTTTTTATGATTAGATAGAGCTCCTTGAGAACTTTCTTTTAAAAACATGGCTGAAAGAAATGTTATTTCTACGGAGACTTATCGAGCGCAAAAGATTCTTTGATGCTTATTACTTTCTTAATTGATTGATGACAAGTTCTACCACACATGTCACGACACCAGTCAAGTGATAATCACACAATTCATTGCTATTTACAAGAAATCGTACTTTACAGCGTCCATTCTTTTGGGTTGTAAATGCTTCCAAAAGGGGGGCAAAAGATAATGGTTTGTCTAGTTTGTTTTTGTGTGCCTCATCAATACGAAAGATGACTGCTCTTTCCAACTGTTTGCAAGACCAAAAGAGATAGCTTTCCGTTTTAAATAGCTTTTGGTCCTCATATGCGGCATGATTTCCCGCCAAATCAGTATTTTTTTAAAGTGGTATTCAAAACAAGGATACTTAAAGGTTGCAGAAAATACTTATCCTTTTCGCATATAAAGAGATAAATTATTATATGTTACATTTGCTAATCTGACTAGACTGTTCTGAACGCCTGAAACAGGCTGCCAGAGAGGAAAGTAGACCATGTCTTTTTAAGTGAACCAGAAAAGAATTCGGGGAAACTGCCACTCACCCAACCCTCCGGTCCTCAACATTTTCCTGTGGTAGATAGGGCGTTTTTTCGGGATGTTATAAATCATTTAAAAATGAAACTCACATTATTGTTCATTAAATCTTTGTAGAGGGAGGCATTATATTCAGTAGAATAATGAAAAAAAAAAATATACCTGACACTAAAAGGATCGGAAATCATTCTATAAAGATATGAGACATCTTGTGACAATATGCGTCATACATGTACATATTGTTTTGTAAGTAATGTGGCCTGAGGTACGATTAGTGTATAAGATTAGAATACTGTTAGTATTGTCTTGTTTTAAATAAGTACAGTCATGCTTTTAGAATACAGTAAAATCTTGCACCATGCATGGTGTTACCGATTAAAAAACAATAATAAACAGATAAATTTAAACTGGTAGCTCGTGTAGTATTTGATGACCCACCCTCCCTTCTTCATTAGGAATGTTTTTGGGTACCCCCTTGTAGGCCCAAATGAATTGAGATTACCCCCTCCCCTCAAAAGAAGGAAAGAAAGCGGGAAAGGATGAAGGAAAAAATTGTAAAATGACTAATTGAACGTACATCAAATATAGACGTTTCTAAATGGCCAATTATTAGCTAGACTACGAGTAGTCCCCCATTTTTCCTCAGGGATAGTAGAGCGAGCGAAACGCGAGCGCGCGTGAAAATCACCTCACGCGAGAAAAGGTGATATGCCGCGTGTTGCCTTTTCTCTCGTGGGGTGATTTTCACGCGCGCTCGCGTTTCGCTCGCTCTACTATCCCTGAGGAAAAATGGGGTACCACTCGTAGTCTAATAAGCAGCAAACAGACATCGTCTGTATAAGCTGACGGTTGCAAAGAAGTCGTCGGTTTATAAAAAAGAGAACCGCGATAGAAAATTTGGGATCTTGTAAAAGTAGCAAACTTATTTATTTTGTACAAAATACTTACTGCATTGGATGCTATACAAAGTGAGGACAGCCATTTTGTTATTTGGTTTGTTCATATGATGGCGGGCAACAGTGGACTGGTTACATGGTCGTTGTTAAAAGGCAAGCGGGGAATTAATGAGGATCGGAAGAGGCCGGTACGGGAAACGGAAAATGAAAACAAACAAACAAAGAACTGTTAAGGCCGATTTAGACTGTTCGAGTTTTGATTTAAATCATAACAACAAAATTCTGATTGGCTATCAACTGCCCTGTCTCAGCCTTAATAGGACAGTTGAATCTTCATGCCTAAGGAATTGGACAGTACGCGCCATCACGGCACGTGCGCGCTTAAAATTTTGGCTTTTCTTTCACTGCTGGCAAAAAAAAAATCTTCAGTTGGAATTTCTGTTGTTTTGACTTAAAAAAGGAGCCCTATATATCACAAATTTTGTTAAAGTTATGACTAATCGGTAACAGAACTTCGTGTCGTCCAATTCGGTCTGTAATCATTTGCCTAGTTATTAAACAAATCGGACTCCCGCTACGCGGTCGTCGGATTTTGTTTATTGGGAGCTTGAAGATGATGTTACAAGAGAAGATTCGCAACGACGATTTTTAGCGCAACACAGCGTTGCAACATTGTTGCGACATTGTTTCGAATGGTCACAACACTGGTCCAGCATTGCTTCGCTGTGGTGGGCTAAAAGTCGTTGCGAATCATTCTGTGTAACATCACCTTAAACAAGAACGACAGCGACAGCTATGAAAACGTCAGTTAAAAATTGAAATTAGGCAGTTCACGTCGTAGTCGTGCTACGACGGCAAAGAAATGTAAAAAAAAGCGTGATGCATGTGCAAAGCTGTCGTTTTGCCAATCTAAGCCTATTGCTTCTTTGACGTTCTCGTTGCCGTCGTCGTCACCGTCGCCGTTGCTTAAGCTCCCTAACCAGTCGTATGAATACAGACCTAACTGGACTACACTCAGTCCTGTTACCATTACTAATACGACTATCGTGTGCGACTGGCATCCGTCATGACTTCACGTCAGATTGTTCCGTGTAAATTAGACCCACGACATCCTTAGGACACATGTGGATGTCGTAAGTGAAAATTGTGCGCGTGTGGATAGTCGACGGTCATGACGTATGCTAGTCGCGTAGAGACAGAATCAGGGTTTGACGAGTCTCTGCTTGAAACATTACATGGAAACAATGAGGAATGTACAATGGACTAGGTTCAGCTAAGGGCTTGCTAGCAAAAGATACCAGGTTTCCTGAAGCCTAGAAACTTCGGATTAGATGAGGAGACGAGCGATAAAAAAAAGCAAAACAAAATAAACCCGGATCAGAATCTTGAACTAACTAACAGTTGACTAACAAGGAAAGTTACACTTACTGGATGAACCATATGCTGTCCCCAACTCAAAATCACTAATTTTATATAACAAATTTACAAATAATATTTAAAAGGATAAATAAAAAAGATTTGCCTGGCTTACATCGCGCATGGAATTATAAAATACACACCTTTTGTTAGTATTTAGGTACATGGACAACACCCTGTTCTGTAGTGGTACTATACCCTCTTGATTTTTCTGTTAAATGTTGGGCGTTTGCATTTGGTGATGCTATATTTTGCTGTTTGTTCTGCGTTGTTTTTCCAATCATTTAGGTTGGTTTGCGATCGATCCTGTCTTATCCATCGATTATATAGAAGAACTAATGAAGGTTTGCGCAGTTTCCAATACGGGAGCTATAAATCGTTAAGTAAGCAATTTTTTTGAGATGAAATGCCTGGGCTTTTTACACATCTTACCAGGCGTTTAGGCATGGGATACCTGTGTAGCAACATCGATATATGGAATGAAAAAAAATAAATAAATAGAAACTTTAAATTCGGTAAATCGACTGAAAAAAGAGGCTTTTACGTACATGTCTCTAAAACTGATCGCTTTTTCTTGGCAAACCTCACCCCTCCGCCCACCATCTCCCTATGTTTTTACCGAGTGGAGCTTGGGGACCAGGGGAAAACAAGATGGCGCCGCACGATGGCGCCGTTTCCCAACTAACTTCAAATGAAAGCACGGATTCTTCCAGGACGCAGCTTGGTCTTTCAGTTCAGTGACTTCTTATTTTCTGGATCATTTAAATGTGATAAAAGAAGGTACTTTATTTTGAGCAAGAAGGCTCAAGTCTGTCTGGCCTTAGTAACAAAGCACTGATCTTGCACGTGCATGGATTGTTTTGATCACAGTACAGGTAAATATGACGATTTAAGCTTACAGTGCAATTGTAGAGCTAACCAAACTACATAGTAGTTGCTTAGAAAAGAATGTTAACTTAGCTCCTGTCAGAATAGCTTGGATTAAGAGGGGTCAGCCAGGGAGGGGTGGGCAGTCAAAATGTTTTTGGTTATAATTTAAATATTTTTTTAAAGTCACGTGCCCAATAACATGTACAGATCGAGATTCCAACCCCTTTTGAAGAAAAATAGGGAGTATTTTTTGGCACCATAAAGGCGCTCACACAAGTTCCTAAGGTGCGGGGTTCTGGGGGTATGGTCCATGAAACCATGAAAGTTTGCAAATTTTGGTTTCTCTCAGGTGGCATTTCCTGCATTTTCACATTATTTTTGTGGTCTTTATCATTATCACAGAAATCTTTGGGCTTTTCTTTGCTGCTAGCTGCTGTTAATCCAATGTTCAGAAACAGATTTCTTTTACTGCTTTTACACTATGGCCACTAATATAGATAATTTTTGGAACCACACAATGTGATTTTTTTCCCTTCTAATGGCCCCCCTGCCCCTCTCCTTCTTCCTTTATTTGCTAGTTTTTCTGGGCACAGACCTGCCCAATGGAAATGAAAACAGGGGTAAAGACTCTTAGGTCTCAGTTGAGGTGCCCTTCCCTTTGTACCCATTCCTTAGTTATGGAAAAATAAACACCAGTTCCCGCGTGTTAAAACATTGGATAGCACTAGCACTACCCACCGGATAAATTGCTATCCAGTGGATAAGTGTTAGGGAAACCAATATTACGCTATCCAGTGGATAGCGCTATCCACCTTTTTAACAACTGGGACCAGGGCTGGTCACTACTGGAGGCCGAGGTATCTAGTCTGCCAGTGAATTGCTCTTTTTTTGCCCAGCAAGAGTCAGGTTGGTTGAAGTGCTTGTTACTGCCTGGGGCCTACAGTTTTTATCATCATCTTAGAAGACTAGAATGCCTAACCCTCTGTGGATGTTCGAAAAATGGAAGAACTCCTCAGTTACTTCTAAGGCGCAGTTATTAAAACAGATTTTACACAGTGTTTGACAAAACCTTGCTACATGTGCACAAGTCTTCTATATTTCTCCAATCCTAAACTCCAAGCATTGTTTGCTATTGACAGCATCAAGAAGGCTTTCTGTCTACAGTACATGCAGAGAGCCAGTTACATAGGAACTATACTTTCTAAACAGATCCAAAGACCCAACAAGTCTCTCAAACTTATATTTGTACAAACTGTATATACCAGCTTTTAGTGTTGGTTTGGCCACAAGATTGAACCCTTTAACATGTCGTGGCGAAGTTTAGGGATGTAGCTGACCAGCCAGTTCCCTTATTCCTTTCTTCAACTACCCCCCTTCTTTTTAATCTCTTTGTAGTTTACACATGGCTGTGACTACTTAATTTACATCACTTTTAATGGTTTTTTTTTATTTTGTTGCAGTCATACATGTGTAAGTCTGGAGTGTAATGGATCAACAGATTAGATGCTTAATTAGTTGCTGGCAGTTGTTACTTTGAAGAGTAAGTACTACCTAAAGGACAATTTTGACAATATTATGGTATTTTTTGCAGTGGCCTATTCCAACACTTGAAACAATTATGGTAACCTAGACTCGTTGTTTCTGCATTGTTTGTGGAATTGTGAGATTATTGTTAGTTTCTATAATGTTTAAAAGACAGAGCTTCTGATATTTTGCACTGTTCGCAGAGTTGCAAAAAGTCAGGTAAATCTGCAAAATGCCGCAAAATTCACAGAAACGCACAAAATACTGCAAAATTTGCTAGAAATGTTAAATACATGTCAATTTTTCACAGGCAACAATTATCAAGGGGGCGCATTTCTCTATTTTGTCTATTGCTATCCACTAGATGAAATAATTAATCTCTACCACTGAATAACACAATTGGTTTCCCTAGTATTTATCCATTGGATAGTGGTTTATCTAATGGGTAGTGCTATCCAGCTTTTGAACAACTTAAGAGACAACAAAAAATCTATACTGATAGAGAAAAGCAAATCAATCTATCCAAGAGAACTAAGATGAATGAGGAGACTAGAATGATTAGGATAATTAAGATAACTATAGGGATGACATGGGTAACTGGAATGACTAGGATGATTGGGGAGACTAGTATGACTAGAATAAATAAGGTAGCTATAGGCTGGGATGACATGGGTAACTGGGATGAATAGGATCTCTAGGATGGCAAGGATGATTGAGATGACTAGGATGACTTGGGTGACCAGGATGGCTGGGGTGACCAGGCTAACTAGGATAACTGACTTGATTAGGATAACTTGGGTGAATAGGATGACTAGGATGATTGGGGAGACTAGTATGACTAGAATAAATAAGGTAGCTATAGGCTGGGATGACATGGGTAACTGGGATGAATAGGATCTCTAGGATGGCAAGGATGATTGAGATGACTAGGATGACTTGGGTGACCAGGATGGCTGGGGTGACCAGGCTAACTAGGATAACTGACTTGATTAGGATAACTTGGGTGAATAGGATGACTAGGATGACTGGGGTGACTAGGCTGATTGGGTTAACAGAATGTAATATAACTAGAATGGCTAGGGTGACTACATGTACTGTACAGCTGTAGTATGACCCGGGTGACTAGGATGACTAGGTTGACTGGATGACTGGGGTGACTACAATTACTAGGACAACTAAGATGACAGATGTGACTGGGTTGACTGAGGTGAACATTTTATTTTCCATACAGTTGTCACTTAATGCTCTACAACAATGTAATGACTCTTTTTTCTTTGGCTTTTTTCACTGCTCTACACTAAAACCTTTTAAGAAAAAGAATGCCGCAATAAATTTCTTGTTGTCATGTTGTACTGAAACCCAACAAAGCAAAGCAACA